CTGCAATCCTTTCTCCTCTCAGGATCTTGGGCACGCACACACACGCGCCCGGTATGAGTTTAAGCCACCGGGTCCAGGACGCGAACCGCGGTTGACTACATGGGAGTCCGGCAACATAGCCATTACGCTAATTGCTGGTCCCGCCTTTGCTTGTTTTAAACTGCTTCTCATAGTCTTTCTTCTGTGTATGATGTATCCATTGGATAATTCCTGTTTAACTAACTCAGGTCAGTGATGGGCTCCTCCGTAGTTTGTAACTTAAATCCCTGCAGCGAATCAGGGATTAATAAAGCAGAACTCTAGAACCAGCAAATGGCAGAATGGTTACATCACTGGACTCCCGTGTAGTTGACTGGTTCAAGTCCTGGACTCGGCAGCTCAAAACTCACAGCAGACACGTGTGCATACACACCCAAAATCCAGAGAGGAGAATGGAGGAGGAGGGACTGTGGCATGGCCATCCTCTCCGGGGGGTGATTTCTCACTTTCTCTCTGTCTCTCTAGCGAGCACACACACCCTATAACAAACATCTCTCTTAAAAAAAAAAAAAAAAAAGATCGGAACTCCTTAGACAGGTATTAAGCTTACCCCTCTGGTATCTCCCATCTTTTAGCTGCCCTCCCCACCCCTGCTCACATCTGACTTAAAATAATGCTGTTATAGTCATTGATCTTTTAAGGTTTCTCAAAAGGCTATAGGAAAGCATTTCTGTTTCACGACTTTAGGAATTTATTCTTGGCTTTCCTTTTCTCTTTTTTTTTTTTTGAGATTTTCGCTATAGAGTATGTGTGCTCACCAAAGAGACGTGGAGAGAGACAGCGAGACAGAAAGCAAGAAATCACCCCCTGGTGGGGACGGCTACTCCACAGTCCCTTCTTCATTTTCCTCTTGGGATTTTGGGCATGCACGCACACGTGCCCAGTGTGAGTTTTAAGCCACCGGGTCCGGGACTCGAACCACGGTCAGCTATGTCAGAGTCCAGCAATGTAACCATGACGCCATTTGCTGGTCCCTGCTTTCCTTTTAAAAGTTGTTTGTAATCTTGGGGAAATTAACGGACACTTTGGAATTAACAGATAAGTGGTCGGTAGCATGAGCCGCCATAACTGAGGTTACCTGTTTTTTTTTTTTTTTTTCTTTTTTTTATGGGGCTCATGCACTCGCCAGAGAGAGACAGAGAGAGACAGTGGGAGGAAAAGTGCAAAATCGTTTCCCTGCCCCCACGGGGGATGCCACACCGCACTCTCTTCTCCTGGGATTTTGGGCATCCGCATGTATGTGTTAGGCATGATTGCAAGCTGCCAGCTTTAAGATTTGAACCTGTGTCAGCCATGTGGGAACCCAGCACCTTAACCACCCCAGCCCTTGTCGGCCTGAGGTTTACTGTTTTAGCAACTGGAAAATTCTATACCGTTTGATAGGTACAGTGTGAGAGGCCAAAGATTCTTTTTTTTTAGGAAGAGGTTTTTGCTATAGTGCGCATGCACTCACCAAATAGAACATAGAGACAGAAAGCGAGAAATCACCCCCCAGGGGGGATGGTCACACCGCAATCCCTTCTCCTCCTCTCTCCTCTCGGGATCTTGGGCACGCACGCACACACACCCGGCCTGAGTTTTAAGCCACCGGGTCTGGGACGCAAACTGCGGTCGACTACATGGGAGTCCAGCGACATAGCCATTACGTTAACTGCTGGTTCCCAGAGGCCACAGATTCTTTTTTTTTTTTTTATGGAGAGGTTTTCGCTATAGGGCACTTGAGCTCGCCAGACAGAGAGAGACATAGAGACAGAAAGCGAGAAATCACCCCCCGGGGGGATGGTCATGCCGCAATCCCTTCTCCTCCATTCTCCTCTCACGATCTTGGGCGCACATGCACACGCACTCGGCGTGAGTTTTAAGCCACCGGGTCCGGGATGCGAACCGCGGTTGACTACGTGGGAGTCCAGCGACATAGCCATTACACTAACTGCTGGTCCCCTAGAGGCCACAGATGCTAAATGTCATCCATTCTTCCGTCCCTTGCAGGCCATTCCCGGTGACCTGATGCATCCTTTGTGACCAGCGGACTCAGCTAGGATGTTACACCACCACTGTCGGAGGAACCCTGAGCTCCAGGAAGAACTGCAGATCCAGGCTGCCGTGGCCGCCGGGGATGTGCACACGGTGCGGAAGATGTTAGAACAAGGCTACTCCCCGAACGGCCGCGACGCCAACGGCTGGACCCTGCTCCACTTCTCCGCAGCAAGAGGGAAGGAGAGGTGTGTCCGGGTGTTTCTAGAACACGGAGGTGAGTCGACGGGAAGCCAACTGGCTTTCCTAAGGAGAAACTGAAAATGCAACAATACTGAGTCTAAAATACATGAGGGTGTGTGTGTGTGTTTTTGTTTTTCTTTTTGGAGAGGTTTTTGCTATAGGACGTATGCACTCGCCAGACAGACAGAGACAGAGAGACAGAGAGACAGAAAGCGAGAAATCACCCCCCAGGGCAGATGGCCACACTGCAATCCCTTCTCCTCCATTCTCCTCTCGGGATCTTGGGCACGCACGTACACGCGCCCGGCGTGAGTTTAAGCCACCGGGTCCGGGACTCGAATCGCGGTCGACTATGTGGGAGTCCAGCGACATAGCCATTACGCTAACTGCTGGTCCCGAGGGTGTGTGTTTTTGTGTCATTTTTATTTTATAGCCATTTTATTTTGGCTCTAGGGTGTGTGTGTGCTCGCCAGAGAGACAGAGAAACGAAGAGAGAGAGAAAGGGAGAAATCCCTCCAGGGAGGATGGCCACACTGCAATCCCTTCTCCTCCATTCTCCTCTCGGGATCTTGGGCACGCACGTACACGCGCCCGGCGTGAGTTTAAGCCACCGGTCCAAGACTTGAACCACAGTTGGCCACGTGGGAGCCTAGCTCCTCAACCACTGTGCTATCTGCTGGCCCCGTGTGTGTCATTTTTAATGTGTATCTCTTGTTAATAGTCACCACCCTCTTCTCTCTTTCAGGAAAATATGTTGTAATTAAGCTGTTTTGTTTAAGAGCAGATTGTTTCAAAGATTAGTGTAGAGAATGAAATTTCTTCTTTCCGCAGTGGTAGTTTCTTTTCTTTTTTTTTTTTTTAAAGAATAATTTAATTTAATTTAATTTATTATTATTTCACTTGACCAGAGAGAAACAGAGAGAGAAAGAGGAAGTGAGAAAGCAAGTTGCCAGGTCCAGGATTCGAACCTCAGTTCGAATATGGGAGTCCAGTGCCTTAACCACCAGACCACCTGCTCTGCTTATGGTAGTTTTTTTTTTTTTTCTCACTTTCCAGTGAGAAAGACAGAGACAGTGAGGTGGAAAGTGAGAAATCACCCCACCTGGGGCGATGGCCACACCACAATCCCTTCTCTGTTCTTCTCCTGCGATTTTGGGCACGCATACACACAAGCATCCGGCATGATTTTCAAGCCACTGGGTCTAGGACTCGAACCGCCATCGGCCATGTAGGAGTCCAGTGATGTTACCACTATGCCATGTGCTGGCCCTTGCTATGGCCTTTTCTGTACAACCAGATTTCCCCAGGTTATCCTTCTCCGGGCTGTCCTGTGCCTTCTGTTTCAGAAGCAGGAGTGACGGAAGTACTTCAATAATAATTACCCAAGTTTCCCCTTTAAACGTCATGGCCGTAGTGATGCACCCTGTGTTTTGAGTTGACCTCTCTTTTTATTTGGAATTCTTTTATTCTCGGTATTTCAGAACCCTCCCCATTTCCAGAACGATGTGTAGTTTCTAGGGATTCTACCAGAAGATCGGTTGTCCGTGGTCTAATTTTATGCGAAGACATATATGCAATTGGAACCATAGTTGACGTTTTATGATTTTTGCTTTAGAAAACTGTCCAGTCCATTAGGCCAGCGGGTAGCATGGTAGTTAAAGCCCTGGACTCCCACCTGGCCCATCTTGGTTCAAGTCTCAGACCTGGCAGCTTGAAAGTCATGCCAGGCACATGTGCGTGTGTGCCCCAAATCCTGAGAGGAGGGGACCAGCAGTTGGTGTAATGGCTATGTCGCTGGACTCCCATGCAGTCCACCGCGGTTTGAGTCCCAGACCCAGTGGCTTAAACTCACGCCGGGCGCGTGTGCGTGCGTGCCCAAGATCCTGAAAGGAGAATGGAGAAGGGACTGCAGCGTGACCATCCCCCCTGGGGGGTGATTTCTCACTTTCTGTCTCTCTTTCTCTGTCTGTCTGGCGACGCGCCTTTTTCCAAAAACCCTCCCAAAGGAAAAAAAAAAAAAAAAACCCCGACAGGAGATTGAAGAAGGGATTGTGACATGGCCATGGCCATCCTCCTGGGGGTTGATTTCTCACTTTCCTTCTTTCTGACTCTCTCTGGTCAAACCAAGTGCTATGTGGCAAAAATCTTTTCTTTTTTTTTAAAAAAAGATAAACTGTCTATTTCATGGGCTTTAAAATGAATTATTGTCAGCAGATGGTGTAGCAATTACATTGCTGAACTCCTACATGGCTAACCATCGTTCGAGTCCCAGACCTGGTGGCTTGAAAAACATCACACTGGGTGTGTATATACCCAAGATCCCGGGAGGAGAATGAAGGAGAAAGGATTGTGGTGTGGCCATCCCCCGCCAAGGGTGGTTTCTTGCTTTCCCTCTGTCTCTGTCTCTGTCTCCAGCAAGTACCCATGCCCTAAGGCAAAATAACCTCTTTTTTTAAAAAAAATTTATTATCCTAATTTTTTTTCCTTGCGGTTGTGTTTCCACTAACCTTATTTTGTATGTTTTATCATTTATATCCACATTACTGAGTAAACTGTGGTGTCAAGGAGCTTAGTTGGGACTCAAGTTCGAGTCCCGGACCCGGTGGCTTAGACTCAAGCCGGGCGCGTGTGCATGCGTGCCCAAGATCCCAAGAGGAGAATGGAGGAGAAGGAATTGCGGCGTGGCCATCCCCCCTGGGGGACGATTTCTGGCTTTCTGTCTCTCTGTCTCTCTCTGTTTTTCTGGTGAGCATACACACCCTATAGCAAAAACTTCTTAATTAATTAATTAAAATGAAGTAAAGTAATAAGCCTCTATTTACCTTCTCTAGGCATTGGGCAACATTTAAATTTCTGATGCTGTAGAACCACCGAACCCTCATGTACTACTGATGAGAGTATGAAATCGTAGCGTCATTTAGAACCGACAGCCTGGAAGTTTCTTGTAAAGTTAGCATACGCTTAACATATGACTCAGCAATTCTTTCCTAACTAGTATTAGCCCAACTGAAATTAAAACACATACGCACACACACGTGCGCACACTCGTGTTCAGAAGTTCATAGTAGCTCTATTCAAACAGCATCCCACTAGGAGTAACCACAAGGTCCATCTGCTCATGAGTAGAGAAAATTGTGTATTCATCATCTTTTGACATACCATTCGATGATACGAAGGGATGAACTGTTGACAGACACGGCACGGAAATATTTAAAAACGACCTGCTGAGTGTGATAAGTCAAACACAAATGGTTCTGTAATGATTCCATTTGTAGGGAATAATACAAATTCCAGAAAAGGCACAACTATTTTTGTGGACTAATGGTTTGCCTGAGGTCCAAAGTCTTTTCCAGGCGATAGAAATGTTCTGTATTTTGGGACCAGCAGTTAGCGTAATGGCTGTGTCGCTGGACTCCCACGTAGTCAACCATGGTTCGAATCCCGGACGCAGTGGCTTAAACTCATGCCGGGCGCGTGTGTGTGCGTGCCCAAGATCCCAAGAGGAGAATGGAGGAGAAGGAATTGTGGCATGGCCATCTGCCGTGGGGGGTGATTTCTCACTTTCTGTATCTGTCTCTCTCTTTCTGGTCTGGCGAGTGCACACCCCCTATAGCAAAAACCTCTCCAAAAAAAAAAAAAAAAAAAGTTCTGTATTTTGTGGGGGACGGGGGGAGCTGATGGCCTAACGATTGCACCGCTGGACTTCCACAGGACTGACCACAGTTCAAGTCCTAGACACTGTGGCTTGAAACTCATGCCAGGCATTGTGTGTGTGCATGCCCAAGATTCCAGGAGGAGAATGGAAGAGAAAAGATTGTGGCATGGCCATCCCCCCTGGGGGTTATTTCTCAGTTTCCCTCTCACTGTCTTGTCTCTCTGTCTCTCTCGGGCACGCGCATGCATTGTAAGGCAAAAACCCCTATAAAAAAATGTTTCTATATTTTTAACTTGGCCGGTGTATGTGACTGTATCTAATCATCCAGAACTCATCAGTCTGTATGCTTAAAACGAGTGAATTTTATCTCAAAGAAGCTGTTAGAGAAAATGCTGTATTCATAGAAAATGTGTCTTTGCTTTTATGTATGTACGTTGAAATTTTTTTCAGAAGATGTAAATGGATTCATTGAGATTACGCTACAGCTTATTTAAAGTAAATCCCACATGGGGAAAAGGATGTTTGTAAAAGGGATAAAGTAGTAAGTTTTGTTGGGTTGCTATTTGAGGTGAAGTGATCAGGGAAGGCCCTTTTTTTGTTTTTCTTTCTTAAGGTTTTTGTTACAGGACATGTGCACTAGCCAGAGAGAAGGTGAGATCTCCCCCCAGGGGAGTTGGTCACACTGCAATCCCTTCTCCTCCTGGGATTTTGGGTATGTACACACGCAGATGCAGCATAATTTTCAAGCCGCCAGTTCCAGGACTTGAACTGTAGTCGGTTGTGTGGGAATCCAGCACCTTAACCACCATACCACTTTCTGGTCCCAGGGGAGGCCTTTTTAATAAAAGAACATTTGAATAGACATAAATGTAGTGAGTTCAGTTCAAGCAAAGCAGTTTTCTTTAAATGTGCCTTGCACGTTTCTTTTTAATTTCTATCTTATATGTTTTACAAAAACGCTTCAGAAAAATCTGTAGGGAAATAGAATTAAAGTACAAGTTTATTTTGGTGCAAAAAATACTTTGCAATCTATGTATTGTTTTCATCATGTGAATTTTCCCCGAACTTTTTGAAAGCTGCTCATGTATTTTATGTTGCTGTCACAAATAGGATTTTTTTCTTGTATTATTGCATTGGCTGATAATGAGCCTTAAGTTTTGTTGGCATCTTCGTCTGTCTTATAACCGCCCATTTTAATCCCTTGAGAACAGTCACTGCAAATTGCATGCGTTGTTGACGTGCAGCTCTGTTCTGTGTGTGTGCACAGCTAATGTATGCAAATGATTTTTACGGAGTCCGAGAGATCACTGTTGGGTGTGTTCATTTGCATTTTCCCTTAGCTCAGTGTAGCCCAGCACCAAAATGTAAGTAGAACCCAAGACGACCGAAAGTCATAACCCAAGCTGCACGTTCAGTTCCATGTACCATTATTTCAGTTTTAGTGTCGAATAGAAGCGGCATAGATTGGCTCCAAGTACGATGTTGGCTGGCACCTCAGGATGAAAGGTGGGAGACCTGAAAGAAGGTATTTGTTCATTTCCCTCCCAGGTGAAGGGGGAATGCCTGCAAGCCGTGGATCGGCTCGGTATAGATTATAAATGACATCTGGGCAAGGTATATCGAATAAGAGAGAGAGCCTTTTAGATCTAATAGTTATCTTCACTAAAGGCACTTAATGGGAGACGCATCTGAGCGACCTGAGGGTGGAAACTAGTCGTTCTTTCCTTACTTGCCCAGTAGATGGCAGCAAAACGCTTCTCTAAAAGGTTCTTGCATTTCCTTCTTCTGAGTCACATAGTACATAGATGCTATGTGTTTCTCTTCATGAAGACGAAGGCCGGTAGGATACCCTTGTTCTCTCTTAAAAAGACCGAAGTAACACTACCCGTAGGTGCTGTCCTGCTCTCTGTCTATGGTAGATGTTTCCAGAAATTCAAACGATACAGCTAATCTAAACACGCATTACTTTTTATAGATTTTGCTGGCGGTTCCCTCCTACCTGCAATTTTCACTCTCCCTCTGGAGAAGTATTATTTGACAGGTAGCCTTCTGCCTTCCAGGTTTTGTCTTAGGGGATTCTTTTTTAAAAAAATTTTTATTTTTTATTATTATTATTTAATTAGCTAGCAGGGCACGCACGCTCGCCAGAGAGATTGCGAAAGAGAGGAAGCAAAGCGCCAGGTCTAGGATGCGAACCACAGCCACGTGGGAGTCCAGGACCTTATTAACCATCTCGCCACCTGCTGACCCCTAGATTTTTTTTTTAAAGAGAGCCCAGCCGTCATAATATGTTTTAGAACTAAATAATATTTTCCTAGAGAATACAGTCGTATTTCTGATCACATCATGATGGAAGCTTTTTGTGCGCCTGTATAAAAAATGTCACTATTCTTGGGGCCAGCAGGTGGCATGGTGGTTAAGGGCCCCGGACTCCCACATGGCCGACCAGAGTTCCAGTCCTGGACTTGACAGCTCGCTCTCTCACTTTCTCTCTCTCTCTCTCACTCTGGTCAAATTAAAATAAATAAATGAATAAAGTTAATTTTTTTTTAAATCACTTTTTTCTTTCGTGAGCAAAGCAAAAGTGAAAGGCAGCTTTTTTTTTTTTTTTTTGAGAAGAAAGCGATTTATTTTAGTACTGGGTAGATAGGACTGACCAGTTTACCTTCTGTGTTGAACTGCTGGCTTCCAGGAGGTGGCCTGTGAGTTACAAGGAGTTCTTGTCCCTTTTCTGGCCACTGCCCAGCAGTGACAATGGAATAAGAGCCCCTTGATAAAGATCCAAGGCTGGTCGAGACTGGCAGATGGTGTAATGGCTATGTTGCTGGACTCCCACGCAGTCAACTGCAGCTCGAGTCCCGGACCCGGGGGCTTAAAACTCACACCGGGCGTGTGTGCGTGCGTGCCCAAAATCCCGAGAGGAGAATGGAGGAGAAGGGATTGCAGCGTAGCCATCTCCCCTGGGGGGTGATTTCTCACTTTCTCTCTGTTATCTCTGTCTCTCTGGTGAGCACTTTTGCCCTAGAACAAACATCTCTCTCTTAAAAAAAATGTGATCTGGAGGCTGGCAGGTGGTGTGGTGATTAAAGGCACTGGACTCCCACATAGCCAACCATGTTTCAAGTCCCGGACCTGGTGGCTTGCTTTCTCTCTCTCTCTTTTTCTCTGATAAAACTGGAAAATAATAATAATAATAGTTAAATAAAATAATTCTTTAAAAGAAAAAGTGATCTGAGGCTGGAGATAAAGCCTATGACTCGAAGCATCGTATAGCAAATCATTTATTGAAGTTCCTCCCCCACTTCCCACGCATCAAACAATTTAGGAGACATTTTTGGCACTGTTTTAGGTAATAACATTTTTACAGTGCTGAGGTTTCTCCCCATTTCACGCATAACGTGTTGTTACTTAATTCTCACACACTCCAAAGTTCATGCAAAACTAAGAATTCTCACACACTCCAAAGTTCATGCAAAACTAAGAATTGGAATAGACTTTTATCTTAGGAAAACACTATTTATCAAGATCATGTAACTTAGTTGATCTTGTGTGCTTTGGAATCTGTACAGTCCACACAAAAAAAAACAAAAAAAAAACACACTTTTTTTTTTTAACCTAATAGACCCTGACACAGCACAGTCTCCCAGACCATAATACTCCCGTAATTTAGAACAGCGGATGCTGCTACACATGCTTCTCCTTAAGACTGAGACGCACAAGAGAAAATAAAGGGGAAAGTTAAAAACAGAAGAGAACATGAACTAATACAGAAATGAGGGCGTGGAGTAGCCAAAGGCAGTTGATTGAATTAGCGGAGAGAGGGGATGTGGTGACCCAAACACTCTGATTTTTTTTTTTTTTTTTTTTTGTGTATATTGGATCATCCAGGAAGTCACAATGCATTTTTTGCATAGAAAAACTTCATGGTGTTCCCGAGGACCAAATATATATATATTTTTAAACTTTGTTTCTTGAGGCCATCAGATAGCGTGGTGGTTAGAGCGCCAGACTCCCATATGACCAACCACGGTTCAAATCCTGGACCTGGCAACTTGCTTTCTTTGTTTCCCTTTCTCTCTCTGTCTCTCTCTTTGGTGAGCACACGTGCAAATTAAAAGCATAATAATAATAAGGCCAGCAGGTGGCGTAGTGGTTAAGGCGTGGACTCCCACGTGGCCTACCACAGTTCGAGTCCTGGACTCGGAGGCTTGAAACTCATGCTGGGTGCATGTGCATGCATGCCCAAACTCCTGAGGGGAGAATGGAGGAGAAGGGATTATGGTATGGCCATTCCCCTTGGGGGGTGATTTCTCACTTTCCATCTCTCCAGCGAGTTCATGCACCTCACAACAAAAATCTAAATAAATAAATAAATAATGATAATAATAAATAAAATTAAATCTACAAATGTCTTTATAAAGAGGGGCCAGCAGGTAGTGTGATGAATAAGGGCGCTGGACTCCCACATGGCCGATCACGGTTCAAGTCCCAGACCTGGTGGCTAGCTTTCTCACTTTCTCTCCTTCTCTCTCTCTGTCTCTTTCCCCCTCCACTCAAAATTAAAGAAAGAAAGAAAGTTAAATAAAATAATTGTTATTTTTTAAAAAGTCTTTAAAAAGAAAACAAAATTTGTGTCTTATGCTCCATTAAATTCCTTTTCTGTTAGAGATAGCCTTCATTTTAGTTGAGGAATAACACACTTAATATTCGTCATAGCATTAGATCATTTTATTACCAAGTCGTCATTTGTGTTTTAACTGCGGCTTTTCTGGTTCACGTGAAACCCACGTAAAATGGAACAGTGGTGTTATTATTTTTTTAAGAATTTCTTTCATTTATCATTATGCTCATTTTTTCATTTGCTACAGGGTATATGCGCTCACCAGAGAGAGAGACAGAGAGAGAAAAAATGAGAACGCAAACCACCAGCTCCGGGACTCGAACAGCGATCACGTTTTCTCCGAGGATCGGCTGAAACACGCCGTGCCCCGATAGGGTTGGTGGGCCGTGCCCTCGCCCCTGCTAACGCGTCCCCCTCTGCTTCTCACCCTAGCCGACCCCACGGTGAAGGACTTAATCGGAGGCTTCACCGCTCTGCACTACGCAGCCATGCACGGCCGGGCCCGCATCGCGCGCCTGATGCTGGAATCCGAGTACCGGAGCGACATCATCAACGCCAAGAGCAACGACGGCTGGACTCCCCTCCACGTGGCCGCCCACTACGGCCGGGACTCGTTCGTCCGCCTCCTGCTGGAGTTCAAGGCCGAGGTGGACCCGCTGAGCGACAAGGGCACGACGCCCCTGCAGCTGGCCATCATCCGCGAGCGCTCCAGCTGCGTGAAGATCCTGCTGGACCACAGCGCCAACATCGACATCCAGAACGGCTTCCTGCTGCGCTACGCCGTCATCAAGAGCAATCACTCCTACTGCCGGATGTTCCTGCAGAGGGGGGCCGACACAAACCTGGGGCGCTTAGAAGACGGGCAGACGCCTTTGCACCTGTCCGCCCTGCGGGACGATGTGCTGTGTGCGCGGATGCTGTACAACTACGGCGCGGGCACCAACACCAGGAACTACGAGGGCCAGACCCCGCTGGCCGTGTCCATCAGCATCTCTGGCAGCAGTCGGCCGTGCCTGGATTTCTTACAGGAAGTCACACGTACGTACTTACGGGTACTGCGACGATTCCGCTGACATTTCTGTTTGTTTTCCCTTTTCATTTCCCTCTTCGGTGGCACGTAAGGTATTTTTATAACGTAAAAAGACGAGACAGGGGGACCAGCAGTTGGCGTAATGGCTATGTTGCTGGACTCCCATGTAGTCGACTGCGGTTCGAGTCCCGGACCCGGTGGCTTAAACTCACGCCAGGCGCATGTGCGTGCGTGCCCAAGATCCCGAGAGGAGAATGGAGGAGGAGGGATTGTGGCGTGGCCATCCCCCCTGGGGGGTGATTTCTCACTTTCTGTCTCTCTGTCTCTCTCTGTCTGTCTGGTGAGCGCACGCACCCTATAGCAGAAACCTCTATAAAAAAACAAACAAACAAAAAAAGACGAGACAGGCAGGGATGGTTCCTGTAAGTCCTGCTAGGGGAGCAGTGCCTTCCTCACCTGACACGTTATAAGTCTCTTCTAGGGACCAGCAGGTGGCGTGGTGGTTAAGGCACTGGACACTCCCACATGGCTGACCATGGTTCGAGTCCTAGACCTGGCAGCTTGCTTTCTCACTTTCCCTTTCTCTCTCTCTCTCTCTGTGTCTCTGCCTCGTCAAATTAAAAACTAAAATGAATGAAAAAATTAAATAATTCTTTAAAAAAAGATACCTTTATAAAACAAAAGAAGTCTCTTTTATAATACAATTTCATAAACACTCCGTTGTGTCACTAAAAGCAATAGTGGGAGACAGGAGATGTGAGCAGAGAAATGGAAGAAAAGACAGATCTGTTCGTTTGTTTGCTATGGGGCATGTGTGCTTGCTGGGTGGGGGACAGTGAGAAAACACACACACACACACACACACACACACACACACTGCCGCCAGAGGGAATGGACATGCTGCAATCCCTTCTCCTCCATTCTCCTCCCAGGATTTTGGGCATGGACACACATGTGCCTAATATGGTTTTCAAACCATCGGGTCTGGGACTCAGACCACATAGTCGGTCCTGTGGTATCCAGTTACCTTAACCAGCATGCCACTGGCTGGCCCGAGAGGTTTTTTTTTTTGGTTTGTTTATTTTCTTTGAGAAGTTTTTGCTATAGGGTGCTGCGCTTGCCAGAAAGACAGGGACAGAGAGACAACAGAAAGCGAGAAATCACCCCCCAGGGGCGTTGGCCACGCCGCAATCCCTTCTCCTCCATTCTCCTCTTGGGATCTTAGGCATGCACGCACACGCGCCCGGACCGCCATCAACTACATGGGAATCCAGTGACATAGCCATTGCGCTAAATGCTGGTCCCTGAATTTTTAATTTTATGTTTTTTTTTTTTTCTTAAACATTTACTTATTTATTTACCTATCTATTTATTGGTTGTGATTTTTAAGCCACCGGATCCAGGACTTGAACCTCAATCACCCACGTGGGAATCGACTTTAACCATAATGCCACCTGCTGGCTCCAATTTTATGTAATTGTCATTCATTTAAATGTAAATAGGCCCAAGTGCTTCATGGCACAGATCCCTGTCCCTTGGGAGGAGGTGCACCGGGCTGATAGGGTGTTCCCTTGGGGTACGTGTGTTTGCCAGAAAGAGATACAAAGAGATGGGGGGGAGGCCATACCGCAATCCCTTCTCCTCCTGTCTCGTCTCAGGATTTTGGGTGCACACATGTGCTGGCGTGTTTTATTCAGGCCCCCACATGTGGGACTCAAACCACAGTCAGCCTATGTGGAATTATTCTCCTGTTACTTTATTCCTTAACCATCACGCCACCCGCTGGTCCCTGATTTGTGTGTTGTGGGGAATCAAGTGGGTCATATTTCTTTTTTTTCAAGGAGAGAGGTTTTTGCTTTAGGGCGCATGCACTTGCCAGACAGAGAGAGACAGAGAGACAGAGAAAGCGAGAAATCACCCCCCAGGGGGCTGGCCACGCCGCAATCCCTTCTCCTCCATTCTCCTCTCAGGATCTTGGGCATGAAAGCACACACACCCGGTGCAAGTTTAAGCCACCGGGTCCAGGACTTGAACCGCGGTCGACTACGTGGGAGTCCAGCGACATAGCCATTACGCTAACCGCTGGTCCCAAGTGGGTCGTATTTCTAAAAGAACGAGAGTAGGTAGATGTCAATTGAGCTGGGGGAGACTTAAGCTGTCAGGCACTTACACTAGTTGCTTATGGTTGGTAAACCATAGGTGGTGGTGTTTGCCTCAGTGCACATGGAAAATACTGCTCAAAGCATGTTTGTCTGTGGGGGAAAAAAAAATGTAACCAACAGGCACATGTTATAAGACTGGAATTGTAGGAAAATACGGTGGGATTTTTTTTTTTGAATTATTTTTAAATTTTATTTATTTATTTTAATTTGACCAGAGAGCGACAGAGAGTGTGTGTGTGTGTGTGAGAGAGAGAGAGAGAGAGAGAGAGAGAGAGAGAGAGAGAGAGAGAGAGAGAGAGAGAGAGAGAGAGAGAGAGAGAGAGAAGAAAAGGGAGAAAACAAGCTTCCAGGTCCAGGACTCGAACTGTGGTCAGCCATGTGGGAGTCCAGTGCCTTAACCACCATGTCCCCTGCTGGCCCCCATGATTTTTATTTTAAAGAAAGCCAGAAACTGCCTTTGTTTTATTAAGTCTGATTTGTTGGACACGTTATGTACTAAGTCCCCGTGAAGGGAGGTGAGGAGCAAGAAGAAAGGAATACAATGTGTCACGGTAGGACCACACCTGGGGTGCTGAGATCCGGCGGAGGGCGTTGGGAGACATTCCAGGTGCTCCCTGAACTTGGCTGTTTCCTGCCACTAGAGTAGGATAACTGAGACTGGGTAATGTAAGAAGAATCCAAGTTTGTTTGACTCACGGTTCTGGAGGCTGGGAAGACCAAAAGTGAGGGGCTCTACCAATGGGGACCTCCTTGATACATCCTGACATTGTGGAAGACATCACATGGCAGAGAGGGCAAGAGGGGATGCACGCACGAGAGACAGAGAGAGAGAGAGATTGAACTCGGTGAGAACTAAGCCACTCCAATGATATTAGGGCATCGGGAGTGTCAGGACAGATTTTCCTCTGTTTGTCTATGCAAAAAAATGCATCATGACTTTTCCAGCGACCCCACGATTTACCCCCAGTGTTAATCCTTCCATGAGGGCAGAGCCCTTGGGACCTAGGCTTTGATTTTTTTTTTTTTTAAGAGATTTTTGCTATAGGGTACGTACGCTCGCCAGACAGACAGAGAGAGACATAGAGACAGAAAGCGAGAAATCTCCCCCCAGGGGGGATGCCCACGCCACAATCCCTTCTCCTCCATTCTCTTCTTGGGATCTTGGGCACGCACGCACACACGCATGCACACGCGCCTTGAGTGAGTTTTAAGCCACCAGGTCCAGGACGCGAACTGGAGTCGACTACGTGGGAGTCCAGCGACATAGCCATTACGCTAACTGCTGGTTCCCAGCTTTGATTTTTTTAAGAATTATTTTTTATTTCACTTTATTTATTTACTATTTTTTTTTTTTTTAATTTGACCAGAAGGAGCAGAGAAAGAGAGAGAAAGTGAGAAAGCAAGCCACCAGGTCCAGTGCTCGAACCACAGTCACCCAGCCATGTGGGAGCCCAGCACCCTTAACCACTACACCATCTGCTGGCCCCTGGACCTGATCTTAAATGTCCTATCTCTTGCCCTCATTACGATGACCCCTAAATTTCTTTCTTTCTTTTTAAAGAGAGATTTTTTGCTATGAGGCGTGTGGCCTCGCCAGAGAGACAGAGATTCACAAAGTGAGAAATCATACCCCCCCCCCCATCCCCGGACAGATGGCCACACTGCAGTCCTTTCTCCTCCATTCTCCTCTTGCGATTTTGGGCATGCATGCACACACACATGCCCAGCATGAGTTTTAAGCCACCGGGTCCAGGACTCGAACCACAGTCAACTACATGGGAGTCCAGCCATGTAACCATTACACCATCTGCTTGTTCCAACACCTATATTTCAGCATGAGTTTTGAAGGAGACATTGAGACCGTAGCACTGACCTAAGAGAGAACTTCTTAAAGGAATTGCAGTCAGGTTGCATAAAACAATATGAAAGAAACTTTAAAAAAAAAATTTTCTATCTTTTCCCCCTACCTCTGAACTCTCTTCCTCCCAAAGAAACATCTGGAATTCTTTTTTTTTTTTTTTTTCATTTTTGTGCACTTTGAGTATTGGAAGATACTTTGTCTTTCTGTCTACCTTTAGAAGTCCCGATCTTTTTATCCAATAAGTAACTTTATCCTATCATAAATGCCTTAATGGCTCTGTCAAAGGGAAGTGGTTTAGGATATTCAATTTTCTAAATTATGCTTCTGGTCCTAGTTTTGTAATTTGCAAGAGACCAGACCTTTCAAGAGCTGATTTCCTACTTTATACCAGCCCAATTATTACTAATAACGGGGTGCTTGACAAAATGGAAAGAGGAAGACGCCTTTGAACTGTTAGGTAATTCCATTGCAGTTCGTTAGTGTGAAGACTTTGCAGTTTTTCTGCATCCCCCTAAAGTGTTTCTAATTCCTCCAATTGCGCTTTTTCGGTGAGGCGTCTCCCATGACTCCCTTGCACAAATCCCCTGAACGAGACAGTTGTAGTTTAACAGGGCAGGAACGAACTCTTCTAAGATAGCTAGTCTGTGTCTTGGATTCTTGTTTTGTTTCTTTTGTTCTTTTCCCCGTGTCACTGTCATCCTTCTCTTCCCTTGTCCCTTTCATCTTTGGGTTCATGCATGGGTTGAGTATGTAGCAGATACTCAGTAGAAGTTTTTTGTTTGTTTGTTTCATTTTTCCTGTAGTGCATGTGTGCTTGCCAGAAAATGACAGAGAGAGCGAGCGAGAAACAGAGAGCAAGAGAAAGAGAAATCACCCCAGAGGGGTTGGCCATGCCACAGTCTCCTCTCTTCCATTCTCCTCTCAGGATTTCGGGCATGCACACACACACACACATGGACCCAGGGGGATTTTTCCAAGCCACTGGGTCTGGGACTCGAACCTCACAGTTGGACATGTGGCAGTCCAGTGCCTTAACCACCACACCATCTGCTTGCCCAGTACTTTAAAATGATCTGTTAAGAAGAATAAGTACTTCTCTTTCAATAATAATTTTCTATTTCTAAAATGCCATTTCCTGATATAAAAAGTTCCTTAGATCGTCTTAAAAAGAACAATAATTATAATAAGCAGTCCTTTTTAGTCTTTATTGTTTAGCTCTCTCTTCACTCCGCAGTGCTGACCTGTGGCAAGATTGAGTTAGTACCTGTATATTCATTTGGAACAGCCAAATGATAGCCCTCACGTCATCATTGCACAGTCTGTCTTTCTTTATAAAGAAAATTATTTTTTATCTGTTTATTTGTAATGATTTCCAGGCCTCTGGTCCGGGACTCGAACGGCAGTTAGCCATGTGGGAATCCAGCACCTTAACCACCACACCGCCTGTTGGCCCCCACCTTCTCAGATCGTTAAAAGTCCTCACGTTTTACTTGACTCACGTCATGCCCTGATTTCCAGAAGATAATTTCCATCCATTTCCCTGGGACAATTCTCAATAACGGGATTGGCCATCTCTCCTTTACCATTAAACTCTCCGCTGTTTTTCTTCCTTTTTTTTTTATTTAGAGAGATTTTTACTCTTGGGTGTGTGCACTCTCCAGAGAGAGACTGAAAGCGAGAAATCACCCACCAGGGGAATGGCCACGCCGCAATCCCTTCTCCTCCATTCTCTTCTTTGGATCTTGGGCACACACGCACACGTGCCTGGCGTGAGTTTAAGCCACCAGGTCCGGGACTCGAACCGCAGTCGACTACATGGGAGTCCAGCGACATAGCCATTACGCCAACTGCTGGTCCCGAGAATGCCATTCTTCTTACTGATTTTTATGTGTGTGTGTGTTCTGAAAATAGTTACTTTTTCTTAACGATGTCATTTATGTCGCCATAAAATAGGTTTATGTTTCTATTTCTTTTCAGCGAATTAGTACATGTTTCTGAGATGTCTGCTGTGGTAACTACTCATAGATACAGCTCCCATAGATGTGCTTTGGGTCCTGGATAGTCTTACAAGCGTAAGGGGGTTTGAGGCCGTAAAGTGCGAGAACAATCGAAACGCACTGTTCTCCTTGTCTCTGAGACTATAAAACAGGGCTAATGACTACGTCCCTCGTAAAAGGATTAAAGGAACTAATATATGTCAAGTCTGTGACAAGATGTGGCACAGCATACGTAGTTTAAAATATCCAATGGCTGGGACCAGCAGTTAGCATAATGGCTATGTCGCTGGACTCCCACGTAGTCGACCGCGGTTCGCGTCCAGGACCTGGTGGCTTAAAACTCACGCCAGGCGCGTGTGCGGGCGTGCCCAAGATCCTGAGAGGAGAATGGAGGAGAAGGGATTGCGGCATGACCATCCCCCCC